GCTGCTGGCAAAGCAGGTGAGTGTGAATAGCAAGACAAAATAGGGAATACCAAAGCAATTTTTCTCAAAACATTTTTTTGGTATTTGAAGGAAACATAAAAAAAGCCCTTGCATTTTTTAACATAAGGTACACAATTTCTTCACCTGAATGAAAGACCATTTGGCTTCCGAAAAATCAGCTATAGAGCAATTAATTCACCTGTATTTTGCAATCAATTTCAAGATAACATATTTCAAATTCTCCGTAACTATAACAAGTCCAGAGGTTCATTTGACCTATAAAGAATGAGGTGGGGAACTAAATCTAATGCAAAAAAAATTGCAGTGCCTCTATGACATGTAAAATAGTATCTTCCCTGTGTCAAACATATGGTATGAGTAATTCACACTCATACACTCAAACACAGACAAACAGACAACTGTCAGCTGGTGCACGTGTGTACACACACGTGCCAGTGCTATGAAACCAGAGCAAGGAAAGATGGTGGAGAGATATTTTTACCTGTTAATTTTCCTGGTCACACAGCAGTAGTAAAATTATTACTGATGTTACTAACTATTATTACTAACAATCACATTATTATTAATGAAGCATGAAAGTGAGGTGAAATGGAAAGTAGTGGAATTACTGGGCTCAGAGGATTGTGATCAGTGCCACAAAATATTCAGCTGGGAACATTACTAATTGTACACCCCTGTTGATATTGGGGCCATTTGCCTTAAAGACCAGAATAAGGGGACTGAGGGCACCCTCAGCAATTTGGAGAGTGTGTGAAATAAGGAGCAGTTGTGCTGCTGTTAAGTGGGACCTCAGCAGGTTGGAGAAATAAAGCTCGGCAAAAGGAAATACACATTTTCCACCCAGAGAGAAATACCTTTGTGGACTGGTAAAAGTCTTAGGACCAGCCAGGGGGAAAGAGCTGAGCACTAAAGGTTGGGGAATGTCCTAATGGACAAGAAGTTAAACATGAGTCAGCAAGGTGCCCATGTAGCAATGAAAGCAAACACTTTCTGTGTTAGGAAAAACAGTGTTAGGAAAAGCAGGATGAGAGAGATGATCCTGACCCTCAGCACCAGTGAAGTCATATCTGGAATATTGCCTCCTGTTCTGGGCTCCCCAGTACAGAACAGGCATGGACATACTGGTGTACATCCAGTATGGCCATTCAGGACACAAAGATAAGGGTCTTGGACCATCTGTCATTTGAAGAAAGGAAGGGAGAGCTGAATTACTTTTTCCTGGAGAAGTCTCAGAAGGGATCTTAATCAGTATTTATAAATGCTTGGTGAGAGGGAGGGAGGGAGGAGCCAATCCTTTTAAAAGCAAATATTATGAGAAGGAACATTCAAAATCCACTCTCTCCAGCTTTCATTAAGGAATTTGATATGGTATCACCCAGCAATTATTTACTGAGTTGGAAATACAAGCATAACACAAAAATAAAGTCGATACAAATGGTAACTATTGAATGATAACTAATGGTAACTATTGATGACTAATGGTAACATATTGAGTGGACTTTAAAATCGTTCTTCACACTCACTTTACCACATGTCTATAAACACGGTAAAAAGCAGAGGTGTTTTAATAAAAACTGGTTACAGGAAGCCCTCTTGATACTGGGGAGGTTCTTGCTAACCTACAGAAGAAATTGGAGGAGCATTTGCACAGGATTAGAAATGGGAAAACCTTTAGCTACTTTTCAAAGCCACATGATTATGAATAGCAGAATTTCTGATTATTTCTGTGACGGTCTCTCATTATTTATCTCTCTTGCATTTGAAAGCAACACAAAAAAGATAAATCACCCACCCATGTTTACTATTAACAGATTAAACTAACTTGGCCTATCTGTAAAACAAACTTGATATTCACCAGTGTCTGACAAAGTATTTTCAAAAGACCAAGTAGAGTATTAGCAGTCTTATTCAAGACTTTGAGCAAACACTTCAGGTACAAGGTTCAAATACAGGAGAATCAAGTTACTAGCCTCTGTATCTTCCTATTTATTCTGTTTTGCCACACAGACTAAAAGGTGCTTGCTCTGCTTGTTTGATCCTAGCACATAAAAGCTGAGAAGACACATGATCGATGTTTATAATTTATTGAGGGCTACACACCGAGGAAGGAGTTGGTTTAAAATAACAATATAGAGAGATTAAAAATTAGGAATCAAAGAATGTATTTAGGTTGAAAGTTCAAAGAAAGCTCTAAGCATTAGGAGAGAGGTTTTGAAATATCTTAAGAAACATCCAGAAAGAACAACAGGGCAATGTACTTAAAGGTAGACTGTGATGACTTTGTAACTGAAGTTAGATAAGATTGCTGTTTAGCTCAGAAAGGTCTTTTCTTCAGCCCGGAATTACTACTGTGACCAACTGTTCCTGGTTCTGCTCCCCTGCTTCCCAGACTTCTTGCTTCACACTATTCCCACTAGATTTCAACTAGGGCTGTGAGAGAACCTCATGCCATTTTTATCCTTAAGAGAAAACAATCTTAAGACTTAAACTCCTACCCCTCTAGCTTAAATGGTTTTATGGAACATTGCATCAAAGCAGATGATTAGAAAACCTCCTTGAGATCAGAAGATTTAATCAGCACCTAAACAGAGCAGTGCACTGCAAACATACAGAAATTATATTACCTCTTTGAGTCTTCATTAAATATTTGTCCTCCTGGCCAGTTTAATGGATTCCTGCTTACTATATAAACAGTCAAAGAGAGAATTTGATTGTACTCCAAGCAAATACACCTCAAACACAGTCACTATTCAGAATCATGTAATTTAACCTGTCTGTTAAGACATACAATTATCCTCACCCTTTATAACATGGTAACATGTTAATCATTGAACAACCCATTCAGAGGATTTCCATGGCAGTGGGTAAAGCAAAAACAGCTACAGAAAAGACAGAGGGCATATTCACATGTCTCTAGCTACTGGCCAGTTGTCACATAATCATTTGTGTAGCAGCAAGTGAATATTGAGCAATGTTGCAGACAGCCGCCTCTTCTCCATTCAGCTCGTTTCAAAGATCCATCACTAAACAAGCAGCACTCTGCTTCCTGACCCAAAAAGCATGCTCAGCTTGTTGCAAATATTGAAAATGTAGGCGGGTCTGTCGTTCACCAATCCCCCAATCCCCAAACACAAGTCAGTACTGTAAGGCCAATAAAATCTGGTATTACCACATTTCCCCACCTCCCTCTGGCTGACAAATGATTTTTTACACTTTGTTTTAGAAATGAAGAAAATGTTTTTCCAATATAAGTGAATCCAATGCTTGACAGACAATTAAAAATGTACACTGGACTGAAATTTACACAGTGACATACATTGTTCAAACCCCAAATCAGAACTCGCAAATTTCATTTATGACTTGCAAAGCCAAAGCACTGTCCCGAAGAATGCCAGTTACACAGAAAAAAAGTATTTCTATTTTAATGGTAACTCAGAACAAGAAATGTTCACTAATTAATAAATTTGGACCACTTTGTAGACTGGTGTCCATGACAGCATTTCCAGTTAGACACAGAAGATTTGGAAAAGAAAACAAATTATTCTCCTGTTCCAAGTTCAAAGATGAACTCCACTTTTATTGACTGTCATTTGACCGCTACCATCTCTTATTTGGTGACAAACCAGATTCTCAACAACTGAATCTCTTTTAATTGGTTGGTTATAGTCTAGACCAAGGCTCCCGCCTTAAATGCCATAAAAATGCTGTGTATGTGAGTATGATTTCATTTAACAATGACCTGCGCTCTTGGATCTGACAGAAAGTCTTGATTTCCAAATGTTTTTCCCCACCTGACTAGTCTTTTAGATTTTTGTCTTTATTTCTGGCTTGTGCTTATTTTTGTCTCCCTTATTTTGTTGCTGTAGAACAGTGATGTGAAAACTACTGCATCCAGGCTTGCTTTCAAAGTAAGCATATTGAGTGGCTAGCCTGGCTCATATGTTCTTGCTTACCTCACAGATTTCTGTGTTATTATTAGTTTCTTCTAGTAGCATAGCAGTCTTTTGCCACACACATACACACAATTTTACAATAAGCTCACAACTTATGAAACTTGCAAACCACACATTCTGTCAAAGCACACAAATTCCTTAGTTTCCTCATTCTAAAGCAATGTACAGGATCCATCTATAACACTTAACATCTTCTTAATCAAAAAGCAGTATTTTTACATAAGTGGAACAAAAATTTAGTAATATTTGCCATTCACAGTTTGGTCAAAAATATGCTAGGCTACTAAAGCAATTAACCTCAATCTAAATCAGTTCCATTTGAAATGACAAAACCTCAGTCTAGTTTTGCCAGCAACAAACCCAGTGAAATATATGAAAAGTCACAAAATTAAGTATTAACAACTTCTATAATATAAAACCATTATCTTATCAGGCTAAAGCTGTCATTTTGTATTTTATGATGAAATACCTGGCACATGAATAACACAAACATCTTACTGAACAGTAGGTCTCCCCAGTTCATCTCATTTAGCAGACAAGCGTCAAAAACAAATACTGTATTGCCTTAGAGGCAGTAAGTGAAATTCTTGGAAGTAGCTTATGACATTTTTAAAGTTTTTCAGAAGGTGGAAATAATAAAAAAAGACATCACACAGATTTTAGTTGCTGTAGTTGAGAAAGTCAACATTTTCAATGGAAGTTGTGCTACCCCTTGTCCAAGTTTTCCCCATCCTGCATCTCAGAAAATGTGGGTTTGTGCACACTAAAAACAAGGCAAACCAGCCTGGTTATTCTCAGTCTTTTCATGTGTGGCAAAAATAAGAGGACACATGTGGTTCTAAAGCACCATCCTTACACACCACCACCTTCAACTCTGCAAGAGATTTCAGGCTGTAATGTGTAAATCATTACTACATGCTCTAATAGTACTTTCTATCTAATCAGGGGAGAAGAAAAGCCCCCCCTAGAATTACAATAAATAACTACAGTTTTGTTTTAAATGAAATTATGTAGTTTATATCTGACCTGAGTTTCAGTCTTTTCCTAGTGGGAAATATAAATTCAGCATTTGGATACATAATCCTACAGCTCTCAGAAGAAGCCGACTCCACCGCGAACACTTTACATGATTTATAGCTCTCCTCCAGATTCAGATGACAAGTCTCGGCGGAGCAGGTGCAACGGGGTGTTTTTTCCTTCCTTCAGACATCATTCCCTCGTATGTAAATTAATTAGCAAGTCTTCCTCACTTTCGCGTAAGCGGGGAAGATGAAGCTGATGGAATATCAGCGTTCGGTTCCTCACGAGGAGCGGGTGACCCGGCGGAGGGAGGGAAGGAGGGAGGGATGCGGGGAGGGGGCTCGCTGTCGTTACTGCTGGAGCCACAGCGATTTCGACAGCGTCAGCGGCGACAAAGTGAGCCTGGCTCCCGCGCGCTTGTGCCAAGAGAGCGATTTTTAAACCACGGGCAGGATTTGGAGGAGCCTCGGGGACGCGAAGCGAACACACCCCGCACGCCTCCCGCGGCAACCCGAGCCTTCCTGTCCCCCCTGCCGGCAAGTTGGAGCCGCCCTGCCCGCGCCCCCTCCGCCCTGCCCCTTCCCGGGCTGCCGGGGCGCGGGGAGCGCGTCCCGACTCCCGTTACCTCCTCCGGAGCCATGGAGAGCCGCGGCCCAGCGGAGCGGAGGGGCCGGCGCTCCCCGCGCTCCCTCAGCCGCCGGCACAGCCCGCTCCACATAAATGCATTAACAGCAGCCACATCATGATTAATTCATCAGCCCCAGTGACCAGGGGAGGAGGCAGGCGCGGGGGCTGGGGAGAGGCAGCACGGGACGGTCCCTTCTCCCGGAGTTGGCCCCGGCTCCGGGCCCCGCCGGCGCGGAGGGACGGATGGATGCCGCGCCCGGCTTCCCGCGGTGCCCGTGCCTGCCCGGCCTGAGCGAGGCGGGATGTCCCCTCCCCGGACAGAGCACGGCCGGCGGGACCGCGCTGGGAGCCGGGCGGGGATGGGCGAGGCAGCCGTGGGAAGTTGGGAAGGCTCCGCGGCACGGAGCGGGCGGGCTGCAGTCCCCGCTCAGCGGGAGCATCCTCAGCTCCGCGGCAGGGAGATGCAGCCCCTCCTGGTCTCCGGGTGCCTTGGCGGCGGAGCAGGGCCCGAACTGCCGGCACGGAGGGGCCCCCGAGCAGTACAGGCAACCCGGGCATCCGTGCGGCCGCGATCACGGCAGCAGGACTAAGCTCGTTTGCACAAATGTGTCCGAACCCTTCCTCAGCCTCGGTGAAAACAACGGCTCGGCCACGCGCCCGTTGCTGGAGCCAGGTTTTTCCGTGCCACACATCATTGTCGTCCATGTGAGCTTGCCGTGGTCTGCTGAGGCAGCGAGCCCGGCTCCTTCCCCAGTCCTCCGGCACAGAGCTTGGCTGCCCGGTCTTCTGAGGGCAGCGCCGACTTCTTCAAACACCATTTGCTAAACTAGCAGTACGCTGGACTTTGAGTTTCTCCACAGAAGTGGCACAACACCTCTGTGATTTTAAGGGTTTCAGAACAGCTGTTAAATGCAGGAAACCCTTTGCATTTCTCTGCCTTCATTTTCCACTCCAAACATAGGTAGAAGTCCTCTAAGTCCACCATCCCCCTCCAATATTTAATGCAAGACGTACTTTACAACACCAAGCAAGATGCCACCTTAACTTCTTAGTCAGGTAGGTCCCTAGTCAGGTGATGAAATTTGCATAGAACTGATGACATCTCTTCCTTATCACTGCCTCACTTGATCTGTACAACCATGTTTGCCCACCTATTGTCATACTCCAAGAGAATGTATTTGTATAGGATATTACCGTGGTTTAACAGTTCCTTATTGAACATGTGCCAGGAGCGAAAATCACCTCTTGTGGATTTTAGATTAGCAAAGAATCTCCAAGCTGACATAGCTATATATAGAGATTGCCAAGTACCAGACAGAGTTCATAAGCTTTACATAGAGAGATCCTCAAATTGTCACAAGACCTGATAGGTAATCATAGGCAAAGAGGTTTAAAGCTGTGTAAGGAGGAAGCAGAAAACAAATGAAAAAGTAGAGCAGTTTTGTGGGAAAAATTCATTTACATGACACATTAATTTTCCTTTTATATTATGCTCCAGATTTGTGTTGCTCATACACAAAAGAATAATTAACTCCACAGTTAAGGCTGTGTTGTGGTTTCCACTTACAGCGGGAGTAAAAATCTCTAGGTTCAATACTTGAAAGCTGCATTTAGACTACATAGCACAATAGCATATAAGAATTTCAGTTGAATTTTCTTCTAAAACATAATACTTACTTGCCTTCTACAGAGAAAAATCTTAATTGTCCTCTTTTTCCAGATTTTCCCATTTTCATCTGTGAATTCTGAAGGTTCCTGTGTATATTAGAAGCCATTCATCCTGTAGGAAAAGAACACAAATAAAGCTGATTTTGAACTTTTAAAATTAAGTAGAAATAGGGTAACACAGACTATATCCACTGTATTATTTCATTGCACTTGGTACTGGCATCCCAAGATAATTACATAATAGCAGATTGAATTGTTCTACCTACTTTTTTTTTTTAAAGGATTTTATCAGAATCAAATGTTTCCTGCAAAAACTGATGTACTCGTCTGAAAACAAAAAAACATGGGACTTGATTAAAACCTCTGAATCACCAGTCCAAAACTCTGCTTTTCAGCAGACATTACCTAATGTCTACTGTAATCCAGTGCTTCATCTTAAAATCAGTTCATTTCACTCTTCCTAGTGAAGGCAGTGCCTGAACATGCACTGGCTCCCCTGATTAGAAATTGTCCCATTTGTTTCTCTCCCCAGAACATTCTAAGTATTATTCTCTTCTGTTCACCTATTGCTACATTCATATACAACACTCACGTTTTTCTTCAGTTGAAACAGATTCTCCTTCAATCTCTTTCCATAAATCAAGTTCTGGATTTCCCCTGATGATGTCTATGACCTATTACAATTTGAATTAGTAATTTTTAAACTCTGACAGATGGACAGAGCTTTATACATGACATTCCAGTAAACTCTTATTAGTAATGCCCACAATGGTCTCTTCACCCCCATTTAAGCACTGAGAAAGGTGGGCTTTGCCTCACTTTCTTTCTTGACCTTCCTATGTCATAGCTTTTGGTTTTTCCTGTGCTCCATACCAACAAGTCTTTCTCATGCCATACAACTTTTGACTCTCAAATCACCAGATTATACCAGAAGTTCTTATCAGGTTCTGGTGCATAATCTTGAATTTTGTTATTGTATTTCTTGGCTCCAGTATTTTGTGTGTGCTATTGACAAGCTGCAAATCAACAGCAAATTACACATTTTTTCATTTTCTACGATTATTAATTACTTTATTAGGGGATACAGAAATAATAAGAACTGAACAAACCTAGCAAATTCCATTTATGCATTGATCTCTTTTCAGCATAAACTCTCTTCCTTTGCAGGTCCTTATCCACTTCACAATTTGTATACAGGTTTTCTTGCCTTCCATTTCAATAGCTGCCCACACACAGGTGACTGCTTTCAAGTTAAACTCTGGAGAAAGCAAAGGTGTTAAATGAGATGGTGTACGAGGTCAACTGTTACAGAGTTTGGGACAAAGATGTAGTACAATTAAAAGCAAAGGATAAAACCACTCATAAGTAGCCTGGTAAAAGTCATCTATCTGCTGCGCTACATTTCCAACTTAAAAATGGCCTAGTACTACAGTTCAAAGAAAAATCACCGTGGCTGGAGAGGGGGAGAGTGGACCTATTCTCTATGCTGTTCACTCATTTCTTCTATTTCTGGAAACTCTCCAGGTTCTTTATTACAGAACTCACTTGCCTGGGCAATTTTATTCACATGTCATCTTACTGAGAGTGGTAGAACTATGTAACTATCAAAGTATGGAAAACTTCAATGCTGGATTTCTTTTATTATTGTTATTTACTGAAGTACAAATTTATGTTTCTATTAAATTATTAATATCCTTGCTGATACCTTATTGGTATGAAAAGATGGATGCATAGTTCCACTACCAAAAATCTGAAGTTATATGGATACAGATTCATTAAAAACATTTCAAGTAGTATTTATTTTTATATTGTGAATCAAGTCTCAGTGCTGCCACATCTACACATTTGGTCTTGGTGTATCTCTGCCTAAGTCTTGGGATGAAATCTCAATCACACAAAAATAAAAGAAATTCTTCTAGTCAATTCATCAAGGCTAGGACTGCATTCACTGATTTTTCTCTGAGGGTTCACTACATTTGACATGAAATCCTTAATTACAGCAGCTTATATTAAATATAAGCATACATGTGTCTATGTTTATTTTTAGAAAATAAATTATATTGAAGGAAGAACATTGCACGATAGAATCAATCCTGATACAGTAAAACTAAAAGCAAATGATAATAGTACATCTCTATGAAATATCCCTGGCCTGAAGGCCATATGACATTTTCTTGATTCAAGGCTTAATATTCAAAGGTTGGTCATAGTTATTCATCTGTTAAGGTTCATGAAGTTGGTCTGATTTATGACTAATTCTGGCTACTACTTGGAAACTGTGGTTTCAGATGAATTATGATTATTTTTTTTCAGTCTGAGGCACAGACTAAAACTCAAGTCATAAAGAGTGTCTTTTGCCTTGATTTTAAACTAATTTTCAGTGAATTAAATATCTGACAAATAAGGGGGCAGGTCTACCTTTTGTAATTCAAAGCACTTGTGTTAATTAAGAGTGAGTTTGACTCAACTTTCCTCATTCTCCGAAGAACTTTTCTTCTCAGCCTTATAAAAGTCAGATTATGTAGACAAACGTGGATTTCAATATCTATAAAACTTATGGGAACTATATCATATAAAAGCTCAGGGCTTGACATAGGCAACCTCTGTTATTCAATAAAGTAACAACTCTGGAATATTCCAGAAAAGCGCACCTTCTCTCATGTTTATCTGGTCATTGAGGATTGTAATTTCTGACATCTTAATTTTCATGAAATAACTTTTTCTTACTGAACTCAGAAAAGCTGTTAGAAATCCTTAGTAGCAGTAAAGCAATAGACACAAAATACTGGTAGGACACCAATAACATTGAAAGATGACAGACTTATTTTGTGAAAGAGGGGAAATTCTGTCATTCTTGAAGGAATGCTGAGGCATTCCAAAACATTTTGCTATATACATTATTTCTGATTTTTGAAATTGCCCTCAGTTTTAAATACCCTCACTCATATGTCAATTGTGCTCCCTCAAATTGTGGCACCAGAGGCAGTGAACTGAAGAAAGAGAGAAAATGGGAACGGTGACTGAAAAATCACAGCAAAAAATAAGATGATCCAAAAAACCATATTACTCCAAATTGCTAGTCCAGCTGAGCTGTACCTTTTGCAGTCTCAGAGCAGACTGTAACTAAGGTGCAATTTCTATTGTAGTTCTCTCACCCTGAAAACAGTCCAAAATGATCTG